CATCACTCAGGCGACGACGTGGGGGAACATGTTCACACTCTCTCTGTGCATACTATGTTGTGGTGACCAGGCTGATGTACTCCCGGAAGCTTCTCACGATGCTGTACATGTGCCCTTCGTTGCAGCATGCCTTGACGCAGCTTGTGATCAGACTAGGAAGTCAGGGAGCGACAGCGTTGTGGACTTACTTTGCATGGGATGAGGCTCAAAAGCAGGCAGAGCACCAAGCAAGTGGAGCTACTAGCCCTTTCCGTAGGATGTCTGGCTGGTACAGTGGCAGANNGATGATGGCTCCGAAGGACCGGCCAGTGAACTCATTTCGGAGGGGCCGTCCCCACCATATGATCCTAGCCTGCCACCAGCTGGGCCACCGCCGCCGCAGAATCTGTTTGCGGTTGAGATCACCCTGGCAGCAGCGGCTGTGTTGGAGAGGTTCACTCCATGGTCTGGGCCCATGTTAACAAGGATCAGAGGGCAAATCTCGAGGGCGAGCGGAATCACCATCGAAATGCGTTCGATGGCGCGACACGAGCTCCACATGAGGGACGTTGTCCACATCAGCGATGATCCACCATCCACGGAGGCTGCTGCTCCTGTTGCTGAGACGGTTCCAAGACGCAGCAGCGGCGAGACCGAGACCGAGCGCATTCGGAACGACATGGATCGGGAGGAACGAACTAGAATGACATCGGCAGAGGTGGAACGTGTAAACTCCGTGGTGCCGCTGGAGTATGTGGATGAGGAGGATGAGCCACCGACGGCACCGGTCTTGGCGAACACTTTTCTGAATGACCATCGCACATTGGCCTCTTCCTCGTCGCGACCACCCCCGGCCTCAATGCATAGTGGCCCTGGCGCAGCAGCCAAGCCCAAAGGCACTCGCAAGCATCAGCCTCATTTGCCTCTGACTTGCTGGCATGTTGTTGTGCTTATGGTTGTTCGGTGGGTGGGGGCTCTGTGCTTTCTCTCAGGCGTCGTCGGGAGGATACTGAGTAGGTTCCTTAGCAGAAATGTCAGTGCTGTTGCAAACCTGGACTGGTGGCAGATCAGAACAGCATGCATCTCTTCACCCTGGAACCAATGTGCAAAGCCGGCGGAAAAGATGTTCGGATTGCCTTGTACTTTCTCTTTGCACTTCCTGCGGTACTACAGCAGCACATGGCCTATGCAGTTGTTTACCAGGTACTGGTACTCCTCGCTGATGAGAATGACGGCGGGAACCTCACAAACAATTGCATATTGCTCTTACTTTGTGCGAGCGCACTCTGCTCTGAGGTGGTGTACCTCCAGGGCCTCCGCCTGCAGATCAACGACAGCATCCACGCCCGAGGCTATGATCATACCTTGCAGCCAGTCGCTATCCAGAACCTCACGTGCAGGTGACAATATCAGGAACAGCTGGGTCGGTCCCAAGTCCGGCCCCTACTCAGGCAGCTCAGTCACTCGTGGTCTTTTCATCTTGTTGATTTTTCTTATGATACAGTCAGGGACTGCTGGAGTAGGAGATGCGAGGGTTGATGTCCGTACCGTCAGGGCATCTGAAATCGCTCCTCGAGCGGTGAAGCAGAACGGTCTACAGGAGGCCAGCGCGTCTAGTTCATACGACTTTTCAAGGAGGGTGAAGCGATCTTATCAACGGGCCTATGGCAGGGCCTGCAAATTCGGGGGAGCGTTCTACAGAGGACAGTGGCGAGATCATGAATGGTTCCGACCAGTGCCCATTCGCACCAATGTGCTTCCCAGGACGACGATGTCCAAGGAGCCGCCTGCAGGTGCCATACGGGTGCTTACGTGGAACGCTGGAGGCCTGCATGCTCAGGTCTTTCAAGAAGTCGAGACCTTTATAAGGGATGCTCAGCTGGACTTGATGCTCATCCAGGAAACAAAATGGAGTGCAGACATGCAGTGGTCCTCCCGGGGCTATCATTATGTGCACTCGGCAGGAGTCAACAAGTTGGACAAGGTGGGAGGTGTCCTCACGATCATCTCTGAGAAATTGGCGAAAGCCTCAGACCTCCCACACGTAGACATTCATCCTGGACGGCTGCTTCATGTTCGAGTGCATACCAAGCGGGCCACACTAGATGTGATCAATTGCTACCAATACGCTCTCAATGACAAGTCGGGCACACATGAAAGGCGACAAGCTTGGCTTCGACGTCTACAAAAATGTCTTTCGGGACTCCCGAGCCGCAATGCCCTGTGTTGGCAGGTGACTTCAATAGCCAATGTAGCTCGAAACCCAAGGTCTGTGGAGACTGGACACTTCCAGTGGGGATGGCGCATCAGGCAGACAGCTTGGAGCTTATGGACCTGTTGGCTGCCAACTCCTTGTGTGTGCTTAACTCCTGGACTAAACCGACGCATAGCAGATTGGCAACATTTACTTTCGGCAGGCTGGAGTCACAGATTGACTTTGTTATCACGAAGCAGGCTCAGGCGAATCAGGTGGCACGCAAGGCGGGGGTCATGACTGAATTCCCGGTCGCATGTTGGAGAGATTCTAATAGTGCTGCACATCATCCCGTCTTTGCCTTCATTGCCCTGCCCTTTCGCCTTTGGCGGCCTCCTGAACAGCACAGACAACATCGTATCGACAATGAGGCTGTCATTCGCGACCTACGATCCGAGCACCCAAGCCCGGCTATGCAGGCGCTGCAGGAACGTGCTCGGAACCACAGTTGCACTACTCTGACACAACTTGATGAATACATGCTACAGGCGGCGGCGGAACTTTATCCACGAACCAGGCCGGCACAAGTTGACGGGGACCAACCATTGCAGCTTGCGAACTGTGCTAGGGCAATGTGGGGGCTGTTTCGGAGGATGAAGAAGCACAAATTCTCGGCGAAGGGGGTCTTTGAGGCCTGGAAGGACTGGGCACTCTTTCAAAGAGCGCACCGACTACATAAAGTCCGGTCACAGGAGCGAAGTAAACTTCGTCGCAACGAACTGCTTGACAAGGCACAAACGGCAGCCCAGTCGGGAGGCATGCATACCATTTGGGCAACGGTGAAGGCCCTGGCCCCCAAGACCAAACCACGAAAGGACCAGCTGCACAAAGATGGTCGCATGCTGACGCCCCAAGCTGAGCTCCAATGGATCACGGAAGCTTTTGGAGAGCGGTACGGAAGCTCATTTGCGAAGGCAACTCCCTTTCCGACACGAGAGCATCCTCCTTTTCAGGTGCAGTTGGAAACGGTGCAAGCTCAGCTTGGAAAGCTCCAAGTTCGTAAATCGGTACCACCAGGAGCGGTCCCCTCAGCAATTTGGAGAATGTGTGCTAATGAAGTTTCGGAATTTATCACACAACAGGTTAACGAGACCTGGAGTGGATCGACAGTCCAGGTGGAACAGTCCTGGGCTGATGCTGATGTTGCGCTTCTACCCAAGGGGAAGAAATCCGCCAGCACTCCCTTGGACATGCGCCCAATTGGGCTTCAACACCCGGTGGGTAAGGTCTTCATGAAGATCTTGATACAGAACGCCAGGACCACTATCACCAACTTAGTGAAAGAATGGCCGCAGACGGCGTATGTCTCTGGCAGGAGCACCTCCACGGCCATCAAGACCGTCTTGGCACACTGTGCCAAGGTACGCCAGCAGTGCAAGCAGGCACGCCTGAACATTCATCAACAATACATGGGGCTAGGACGAGCTCCGTGTAGCGGAGGACTACAGATCTGCATGGACATGTCGGCAGCCTTCGACCTGGTGGCTTGGGCGGATGTTCGTACTGCTTTAGAGTTGGCGGGCATCGATCCATCAGTGCAAGAACTCCTGTTACAATGGTTGCGACAGGTCCGATATCGTTTTCATCATCGCTCGAACACCGCCGTGATTGTTCCCTCCTGGGGACTTCGCCAGGGCTGTGTGGCCAGTCCTGTTCTTTGGGCAGTTTATACAGTCCTGATCTGCAGGACGTTGGACGCCAAGTTTGGTCCAGGATGGATGGCAGAACACGGTTCCTTGTACGCTGATGATGCTCACTTCCGTTGGGAATTTCGGGGGTTATCTCAGTTTGAGTGTGTTATGCAAGAAGTACGTCAGGTTCTTGCTACCTTCCGGCGATTTGGAATGCGTGTGAACCAAGATAAAACCAAGGCGATTCTTGCACTCACCGGTGCCTTAAGAAGCAAACTCAGCAAGCATTACATTCGGAAGGCGGGTGAGGGAAAACATCTTCTTCTTTCACCGGGTGATCCTCGCCAATGGCTACCTCTAGAAGATCAGGCAGAGTACTTGGGAATTATCGTCTCGTATCAGAACTTTGAAGCACAATCGGTCAGGCACAGAGTGGCCAAGGCAAACTCCAGAAGGTGGGTGCTGGCTCCGATTCTTCATTCCCGGCGGTTGTCCCCCAAGTACAAACTGAACATTTGGAGGTCCTGCGTCCAAACATCAATGCTCTACGGGCTGCACTGTATGGCGCTCAGTCCAGCTCTTCATCA